CCCCACACACACACACGACAAGGCAAAGCAAACATTCAGGAAATCTCCTTTGCGCCACGTCATATCGGTCCAAGACGCGTGTCGAAGAGAGACAGACTGGAAAAGTTAAAACTACAGAAATGTGTATATCACAGTCCTCGCAACCAGTCACAGCAGTAAAACACAAAAAAAGAGGGATGGAGCTCCACGAGGACCGCATCTGACGCGAGAAATAAGCACATAGGCAGCAAAACCAAAAAGGGGAAAAAAAAGAAGGAAGCATTAGTCACGTCCCATTCCTCTGAAGCAGCAAGGGATGCTCACCCCCGTAACTTCGACACGCAAAATCCGTCTGTGGAGAGTACCGAAGCCCCCTACTGTGCACGCATTTTTTACTGTTGGAAGGTCCTGAGAAACAAAACGAGAGATCGATTAATGCGTCGTCCTCGGCAAGCAAACTAGGAACGGTGACATTGGCAGTAAGATCAGTATCTCTTAGAAGAGGCAGCAGTCGTCGCACGAGGTCCGAAATTATTCTTAACGAGTTATCCTGTGCTGTTGGCTGGTTGTAGTCTTCCAGAAGAATAGAGTGCTGCGGGTACCGTTGAATGGAGCGCGGGTTGTTCTCTACCATTAATACGCGATTTATCACTCGATCGAGGACAGATAAATCTTTCACACCATCTTCCTCTCCGCAATACCACTTGTCATGGCGACTGATGATGTAGTGGAACCACTCCTTTCGTTGTGATGCCTTTGCCACGGCACGAGCAACCATGTTCACATGGGACGGCGATCCTGCGGACCACACTACTACTTCGCAACCCTCCGTGTGACAAACATCGAGGAATTCCTTGATGTATGGTCGAGGTTGCACGCATTCCCCGCGCGCCTGTACTAAGGTTTCATCCAGGTCCACCACAATGCAGAGAGGAGCAGATGGTAGGCCCCTGTGATATGGCAGTAGTGTCTTGTGCCGTCGACGACGGTATCCTACCCCTCCGTGGCTGGGGAGCATTGCCTCCGCAAGCGTCAGTCCCGGTTCGGCAAGGGTGGCAGCAGCTGCAGGCCGAGATGTTGGCATAGGAAGGGCCTTTCGTGCCTCCCTTCTTAAGCTGCTCCTAACGCTGCACGAGCAGTTCAGAAATGGTTTGACGGTGTGGAAGATAGTCGTGTGATTGAACTCCCCCACATCATCGTCATTGTCGCTTTCCAGGAGAAACTCCTGAATGACGTCATTTATAATGTCAACCTCAGAAAAGACGGAGCTCGCCTGCTCCTCCCCGTCGTGGACGTCATCGGTGGTTACAAGGCACGAGGCGAAGCAAAGTTCCGTGTCTGCAGCAGACGCCCGCACCCGCGCAGGATTTCTCACTTGCTGCCTGTTACGTGCCCTCCTCCCCACTAGCCGCCTGCGGCTCCCACGCTCCTGCGCGGGGCCTCTCCTACCGCTTGTCGACTCAGCAGGACGGGCGCGGCGCGCGCGTCCAGTAGTCATTTCAAAAAGCCTCTGAATGTTACCAATGCCTACGCGTACCAACTAGCACCCTTCTGTCCTCCGGCCGTGCACGCTGCATACTCAACAGAGGAGAGAGAGACATATTATTTATTTTAGTTTTATTAAGGCGCACAACAACAGTAAACAAAAACAAAAACAAAACGCAAAAGCAAAGACAGAAACATCCACGCATCGCCTTTTGTCTCCTTCCTGCTGTCGCTGATGACGTTCCCCCCAACACACACACACACACACACACACGGACGTATCTCACTAATTGCCGCGTCCTGTGCTGTACCTCGTGCATCAGCAAAGGCATGCGTGTGTGCCTCTGTGTGACTCATTTGGTGAAGATGCCCTCCTCCTCCAGCTCTCTTCGTCGAATGCGCTCGTCCCGCGCCTCGATCTTCTTCTGGTCCTCTGTCGCTACGTCGTAGGGGTTGCCGCGGAGGCGATAGCGTGGGTTGGTGGCGTTCACTTTGCAAAGAGTCCAGTTCCGCCGCTCCAGAAAGCACTCATTGGCTGAAATGCAGTCCTCTACATTTCCCTTCTCCTCAAAACACTTTGTACCTACGATGCATTCTATGAGCGCGTTCTTGGGCCTCCAACAGATACTCTTGCGCTCCTTTTCCATTTCATACTATACTACCCGGAATATGCTTCCCAGCGGTAAAAAAAAAAAAAAGATGCAAAGCAGGGCACCGATGATGCCACTGGGGACGGAAAGAGCACATCACCACCACCGCAATACAACACAGCCGCCTCGCACGCCGCGGTGTATAGATGCGTTTAAGGCACCACTAAAAGTCCCGCCTGCCCGCGTCCCCGCCACCGCCACCCCACAACCACACACGCACACACCGTCTCCACATCTTTCCTTCGCACCAGCACCACAGCACAGCCAAAGTGGGAAAAAGGGTTCCCTCATGACGACGCAAAGAAATGACAACGCAGTCGTGTTCGCTTCAATCTCCGCAGCTCCTCCCTCGCTTTTGTCCTTTGTTTTGCTCTTGTTTTTTCCATTCTATGCTCACGCCTGTTTCCCTTTCTTTGTGTGCCCAACCAACACGGCAGCAAGAGGTACTGGACTGCCGTTTGCGCCCTCCAATGGTCCCCGCGTGTTTCACTACCTACGCAGACGTGGGTGGTGGCTTCTTTGGCCGGAACACCTCCGTGGGAGCCTTGGGGAATACAACGCGAACGGTAGTTCCAATACCTTCAGTCGTATACAGATCCATCCTTCCACCCCAGAGGTCCATGTAACACTTGGAAACGGGCAGGCCGACGCCAAAGCCGCCCATGTAACGGTCAAATGAGGAGTTTGTCGTCCAGCCAAAGAACCAAAGCTTCTCCACATCATCGGCACTAATACCCCCCGCGGCATCCCTCACATCCACCACAACATGTGTGTCATCTGAGGCAAAGCCCACATGCAGCTCAATCTCCTTTGTTCGTGAGTGCGTCGCCGCGCAAGCATTCTTCATGAGCTCTCTAAAGACGTATTCCAAATGCCTCTCAACCGAGTAAATTACATCCGACGGTGGCGCAGGTGCCACGGAGGCCGAAGGGCATACAAAATAATCGAGGTCACTTGAGGTCGCTAGTCGTCCACTCGGGAGGCGTGTGAAGAGTTCGGGCTGCTCCTCCACATGAATCGCTATGGATCCACCATGAGTGGATTGAATGCTTCGTTCGTATTGCTCCACAACAACTCTGCCGGTGTGCTTCAGAATACTACTAACGTCATGGTCTTGTCGAATAATGGATGAGTAACGGTTTGGTTCAAGTAGGTGAAGAATATGCTCGTGGATGATACGCCAGGAGACACGTCGTCTACAAAAACACGAGAGCCAGCTGTTGAGGCGCGGTGAACGAATCCATAGTTCATTGACAACGATGTCAAACAGATTGTCGTGAGGCCGAAGCTTCTCTAGGACGTCAATAAAACGCTCTGTCGATGCGCTCGCGCCACCACTATCGCCAGTGCCGTGCTCGCCACCCTTCATAATGCTTTCGACGCGTGCCTCATCGCCAATTTCGTTTGACCTAAGTGTGTTTGCCTTAGATATCTCGCCACACTCTAGATTGCGCTGGTAGACAGACGCCACCTCGCTTAACTCCAGACAGCACTCAAACTCCCTCCGACACATGTGCTCCAGCGGTGACAGCCGGGCGTCGGTTTCCCGGTCCAAACCTCCCTCGCGAATCTCACTAGCAATGGCACGGTAACTGCGCGCAGTGCGTGCGCCGAGCTGCTTCACCGCCGTGAGGACGTAGTCTCTATCAGTTCCTGTTAATGTGCGCAGATTAATGGACTGGAGAGGTGTGGCCAGGCATTTCCCCAGGTATTCTCTTAGCGTTTCGCAAAAATGTCTGGGAAGTGTCATGTCATCCCTATTGTATCCAACGAGCACAAAGCGGCAAGGTAAAGAAGAAAAGAGAGAGTGAGAGAGAAAAAAGCATATATATATATATATATATATATTGGAATAAGTGAAACATCACTTTGCCTTTCCCTGCCGTTTGTCACAAGGCCCCGACTCGCATGGCTGCGGTCACGGCGGCAAAGAGACGCCCGCAAAGAAATAGTGCCAACGTGAATAGTGAAATATACATGAAGAAGAACTAACCCCGCCACCTTCCCACCACCAGCAGCGGGGCAGTAAAGAAAATGCAATCACGGAACGCTTATCGCTGAGTCACTTCCGTCTCAGTGTGACTCGCTGACGATGCGCCGCTCTGCCCTCGTTTCGTTCGCGCGTCATCCGTTGCTCCTCATCCGCCCACAGCCGTACTTCGTCCGCTAGGTGTTGCTCTACCAGAGCATCTCGCCAATCCGAGGTCCGTCGGGACCGCTCCCGACACTGAGCTCTTCGACGCTCCTCTTTTTCCACAAGCACTAACTTTTCTATCCCAAGTATCCACTGGTCAATAATCGTTTCTCGCATTCCGTCGTGAAGGACACACAAGGCAGCCCGCTCCTTTTCTTGTCGCGCCTTTAAAGCCAAGCGCTCCTTGCGCTCCGCCTCGGCGCGGAATAGACTGGCCATGGCAATGTTCGTGGAAATTAGCTCCCCGTCCACACGGACGTACGGGGAGGCCAGTTGCTTTGCGGTGCTTCCAGCGTTTTTGGAGTTCCCCGTTGCTTGGGACTTGCAATCCTTTTGCGCCTCGGTGGCGGCCGCCTTCTTCTCCTCAAGCGCGAGTTCGTGGCGGCAGTACAGCAGCGTGCAATCCGCCAGGTGAACCCCGGCCACCTCCACATTCCGCCTCATGGCTCGCCGGTTGTCTTACTCCCTTGCCCCGCAAGCTGCAAAAAACAACAACAACAATAGAAGGAAAGCAAAAGAAGAAAAAAAAAGGTAAAAGCACCAACATTTGCAGAGGACAGAACCGTCGCAGCGCCAACAAACACATAGTGGACGAAAGACAGTTAAAGAAGGCGTAACGGGGGGGAGGAGGGAATGAAGGGTGCCTTTTTGTGCTTGTTTTTGCTAGTGTCAACATCCTGCCCCGAACACACATGCTTATCGTCCCACCACGGAGCGGTGACGGGGAAGGGGAGAAGGACAACATCGTCGTAGCGATGCCTCCCTCACCACCAAAAAAAAAAAACGCGAACAAAAACAAAAAAACACACACAGGCACAGCTACCACACACACACACACACACATGGAGAGGTTTTTCAAGACTGAAGAAACGGATCATCAAATATGGCCCTGCACTTCGCCGCAGGGCACAAAACACTCTTATTAACCACCAATTCAGAGACAATACCGTGCATTTTAACCAAATTCGCCTCAGCCATAATGTTTGTTGTTGAAACCGTGACTCGCCAGTAGGCAGCCTCCCCCGTCACAGGCTTTCGTTGCTCCATTCGTAGTTCAATATCCAGGGGGGACAAGCCGTAGTGCAGCTCCGCAGCAAACTTTGTTGACACATTCATCGAATTTGTCACGAGCATCCGCGGAGATGCAGTCTGCGCATTAAAGCCTGGGAACAACGACTGCAGCTCCGGAAAGGTTGTGATCCTGTCACGTTCCCTCGTCAACACATCCGCCTTGTAAAGAAAGGCCCGTCCACCCCGGGTATTAATCGCTGTCACGTGATACGAGACCCTCTCGCTGTCCACGTTGGGCAACGCTTCCATGGAGATTGTACGCCGGGGCCAACAGATACTTTGCTCCAAGTACCGCAATTGCCACATCACGTCAAATTGCCCCAACAGCCGCAGGAGACGAAACCCGGATGCCAACAGCGTTCCCTCTTGAGTGTCAAAGACGTCAATTCGCTGCGTTTTGTCTGTCTCCTCCAACGGTTCAGCACGAACTCCATTCCGCTTGAGAGCCGCGACCAAGTCGCCAACAAGTGTGTCGTTCTTTCGCGTCGCCTGGGCATACACACTGTATGTGGCAGCGTCCGCCCGCGACTGACAGCTTGCCTCCCCCTGATGAATGGAAACGATTAATACAAGAAACGCAACAACAATAACAGAAAAGACCATGATAAAGCTTTCAATGCGACGCCGCATCAACAGCACCTCCCGGTGGTTATGTGTCGTTTGATGCTCTCGAGCGTGTCCCATTGGCTTGCAATGAGTTAAATATTCAACCTCAATCACTAACTACGCCAAAAATTAAAAAAAAAAAATGAATGGGGTCTCCTGCAAGAGAAGCGGCAAGTAACCTTCAGTGAGGGTTCAACCCAGGCATCACAACGTACCGCGCCGTACACAAAACGTGAGAGAAAAACAGATGTGGGTGTGTATATACATGTATACATGGAGTCCTTTATATTGCGTCTTTACGTGTTTCCTTCTCGGTGGCGTGGGGCGGAGCAGATGCGCCAACGCTGAGAGAAAAAAAAAAAAACATGAAGAACACCAAAAAAAAAAAGAGAGAGATAGAGAGAAGACCAACTTGGATGTACATCGGTGTTCTGCTTCCAGCATCGTTGGGTGATCCCAGCTGCCTTTGCGAGCCAACAACAAAGACGCAAAAAAAAAAAAAAACGCCTCTCTGTTGGTGTGCCACAACTCTGTCACCGCTCGATTCTTCCTCTTCGTCTCAAATTACTATTTTTTTTTCTTTCCCCGTCCTTTCGCCTTCTCACAGGTTCAAGAAAAGCAATAACAGAAAAGGAGACAAACGGGGGCAGCAGAGGCCGCCATAACAGGTGTCACTCTATTTTCCAATGAGGTTAATCGTCCGAGTCAAGAATAACTGCCACAGACTCCAGCGTCAACAGGGAGGCGTGGGTGTCCGTCGCCAGGTCGGCCTCAAATACCAGACCCACGCCAGCCGCGTTGCGACGGTCAGAAGTCACGTAAACCGGTGTTCTAAACGTTGACACGTTTTTTACCTTGGACAACTCTGTGGGAATAATATGCATCACGGGCAGTTCAGAGATGAGTTCCTTCTTTCGTTGAGGTGCCAGGCAACGCTTGCGCAGGTCCCACCTGGCACCCTCAATAAAAAGCCCGTACACGTACGCGCCGTCCTTTGGTCGCTCCTCCACCTCCTGTGCGGTGGCGTAGGTGGTCAACTTTGTCACGATGGCAGAGCGATCTAAGGGCCACCTATAGCGTCTGCAAACCACCTGTACAAGGGCGGAAATATACGACTCCGGCACCATGAGGCCTGATAACCACATGCACCGCGGCTCGCCATTCATGGCCCAATCAGCGTACTGCTTGAAACGGCACTGTAAGTGGACTAACCAGCGACCCAAATTTTTTCGCGTTGCGGGTGCCAGTTTTCGCCAAGACGCGGGCAACTGACCGTTATGCAGCGAGGATGCAAGCTCATCCAAATCACTACTCATACCAATGACACCTAAGAGAGCCTTTTGTAGTTCTTTCAGGGACAAAACAATAAGCCCCACCAACCGATTCCAACGCTCTATTTCTTGCAACAACACAACTTGAGTAGGCTGCAAGTTACTGTACCCTTTCTCATGCGCCTGTTCCTTTTCTTTCCTCATAATCCTCTTACGGTCCAAAGATTCTGGTATCTGCGACAAGACATGTTCAGTAAGCTTTAAAAGAGCCGCTTCCCGTGATTTGCCACCAACTGCCGCCGTTTTTCCAGAACGCGGCATAAGTTCCATCAAACTTGCCCATAATCCCACAGCTGCATTACGCAAATAGCCCGTTTCCGCATTCGGATGCAGTCCAAAGACATCAGGTGTGTTATCCTTTGGAAAGGAATCCACGTGTGCCATCATCTGCTGCAGCGTAACTCGCTTATTTGGATCAGTGCTGTCTGGAGGAAGACAGTAATTCACCTCCTCATTTACGTAAAAGTGAAAGGGCTGGAAGTCATCAAAAAGGAAATCCCCAAAATACTCCTCTAAATACGTCTTTACGATGCGTCGGTCCATACTATCTGTCACACGCCCACCATACATCGCCTCACCCACGAGGTAGCGCAGGGTAACCCACGGAATAGGATCATTGTTTCGGAATGCCTTTGACAAATAGGTGTCAAGCAGTCGCATTGACACAGAGAAGTCAGTCTCATTAAAGTCATAGACCACGTTCCACCCAATTTTTCCATATTTTCGTCGTTCCTGCACCACGGCATGAAAAAAGGCAAGGGCAAATACCAGTGGTCTGAACGCGGTGTGCATGCAGGCATCCAGTTGCTCTTCGGTCACCCTAGAAAGTGTATTTTTCATATTCATTTTAAGCCCGTTTGGTGGTTCATTCACAACCTTCAAAGACCGTTGCAGAATACCCATTGGAAAGTCCTTGGTTGGCTCTGTTGTGAGCCAAAGGCGGAAGTCCTCCTGGGGAGGCGTCTGGTCCATCCGCTCAATCGCCTTCTCAAGTTCCTTCATCCACTTTGTTAGCAGGTGGCAGTTTTGCAGCAGTACCCACTGCCCCCGCACGACGCCCACCTCCACCAGCTTCATGGCTTCCTCACCCTGCCCCTGGCCAAGAGAGATTGAGCGAAGCTTTTGAATTCCCACCTCTTTAGTTGCCAGCTTAACAATCTCGTCCGTAGGATTGGCGCCGGGGGACACAATACACACAATGGGGGCTGTGGAGGAGCTTTTGTCTAGAACATCCTTGTAACGCAGAATAGGTGGAATAACGTAGCGCTCGCCGAGAAGGTCGCAGTTACTGATAAAGTTAGCGACAGCTGTATAAACACGATCGCCACGGAAGCAGCGAAGCAGACAGAGCAGTTGGAACTCGCTGATACGTTCACTGTAGCCGCATGGAATAATGTTGGTTGGATCCTCTGGGCGATCTAGCGCGAACCAGTGACGCCAGTCCTCCACATTATTTGAGACGTCATTGCAGAGGTTGGCAAAGACCTCACACGTCCTTGACAACATGCAAACATCGTTCCATTGACGCTCCGTAAGCCAATCCACTGGGTTAGGTGGGTAATCCTTTGATCCCAACACACACCCACGCAAAAAGAACTCCAATTCATTGTGGTCCATTCGATTCTCCTGCGTGAGCAGGCGGATGGTTATCTGGAAGGAAAGCATAAGTTTGTCCTTTTCAAAGATACCCATGCAGACGTAGCAGTACAGGTTATATGTTAGGGCTCGAATAATGTTGTTGAGACGATCTTTAATCTCAAATGAGGCATCGCTCTTCGTGATGGAGTACCCAAAAACATCGTGCAAAAAGGCGGAAAGAGAGTACTCGTACATGGAGTTGATCACGGATAACTCGGAGATGACAAAGTAGAGAAGCGCACCGCGTCTAGCCGCAGGGCGGTACTCTTGTCGAGAGATCTCCGTGACACGTGCCGTCTCTTTTGCCTGTTCCAGTTTCTGCTGCACCTCCAAGGCGCTACTCTTCGTATTTTCCAGCGTCGCAATCAACTCGTCGTTGTCAAGAATGTTACCTGTAGCCAATGTCAGCTCACGAATCAGTGTGTCCTCCAGCTCCTTCAGCTGTGCACGGCTCTCCGCCATGGTCTGTACAAGCTCCTCACACTGCCGCTGCAGGTCGCTACGCTCGCTCGCCACCACGTAGTTAAGCAGCTGGCTCTCAAGCCCGTCTTCCGTGACGCCGTAGTTGATCACGATGGTTTTGCCAAACACCTCCGCCGCGTACTCTGGGTTGGGCAGCTTGGTGCAGAGGTAAAGCTTAAAGTTGGGGTCCCACACCACATCCTTATCCCCGATGCGTATGACGCGCTGACCGGACTCCTCGCGGAACTGTGGGTCCAGCACGGAGTCTATGATGGGGTCAATAAACTCATCGACACCCTCAAACAAAAAGGGGTTGCCGTACTGAATAGCAAACTCCAACCGCTTCAAAAAATCCGGGTCACCAAAGGAGGCACACTCAAACCGCGGGTTTGACTTGTGCTGCCGCTTGATCCAATTCACAGCCTGCATTTGTGGATCGATGCAAAGCGGAAAGCGCACCCGCCCCGATTTGTGTCCTCGGCCAAGACTCTGCGTGCTCATTGTGGTGAGGATACCGTTTTGCACAGAGAGGGCATCCACCGGCAGGCCGTCACTCGCCCACTGGGAGATGGAGACCTCATCGGTGAGGAGATGCTGTATCTGAAAGTCCTCGGTGAGTGGGATACCCCGCTCACGAATGTCCTTCAGCCACAGTGACTCCAAGGCCTCCTGTCGGTACTGGAATGTAAACGCTCCAAGATAGGAGAGGAACGAGGCACAGGCAAGGCAGTCCCCAACAAGGCGATTTCGCACATCGGCCAACGATCCTTTTTGCTCCGCCCATCGCACGCGTTCGGAACCAAAACCATCGAGTAGTCGTCGGGCGGCGTTCAGCCGCCGCTCCATCACCGCCTTTTCTTGCTGCAACAGCTGGGCCTCATGCATGCCAGCGTCTAGCCGCTCCTGAAGCCGTTTAAGACTCACGGTAAGTTGCTCAATCTCGTCCTGGCACGCCCCTAACTGACGTTCAGCGTTTGCCTTCGCCTCCTGCAGTTCCCGAACCCGAGCTTGCTTGGGCAACACCTCCTTCGCTGTATTCCAGTAGGCCTTCATTGCCTCCACCCAAATCATCAGACCCGATGCGGCCAAACTGACCTTCTTTAGGTCGTTGGAATTAACCGGAAATTCCTTGAGAATTTTATTGATCTCATTGATCTTCCCCTGATTTAGCGTCGAGGCGAGAGAGTTAATGTCAATAAGTGAACGAATAAAGTCGTTTTGGCCCATCATAATCTTTCCAGAGTCCCACGTTGCCGGAACACCCTTCACGACACACACCATACGCACCACTGCCACCACACTCACGGGTGGTTTGGTGAAGGACTTTAATTCTGTGATACTTTTTGAGTTGATGTGCCTCACCGCCTCCGTGGCCTCCTCAAGAGCAGGCATGGCAAGATCAAGCACCTCCTGCGCCTCAGCACTTTCCTTCTCAATCTCCGCACTTTGCACATTCAGTGCCTCCTCCATACTTAACGCCTCCACCTTGCGCTTTTCATTGCGTTCCTTCTGCTCCTTAATCTCCTTCGTCATGCGCTCGTTAATCTCCTGCTTCTCACGCAGTGTCACCTCCTTCTCAGCAAGGTCCTCTTGCAGAGTCTTCACATCCTCCTGGGCCCGGTCAAGTTTCTCCAGCCCAATCGCAAACTTCTTTACCAAGTCATCAATCTCCTCCCGACGAGTGATGAGCAGTCGCGAGTAATTTGCCAGAAACCCAAGAAAGTTCTTCGGGGTGACGTAATTGTGTCGCTTCAACTCCGTCAAGTAACGCATGGAGAGTTCGTCGGCGGTCAGGTGCACGTACACGGCATGACCCACAATCGTCTCCTTCAGTTCCTCTGACACCTGCTTCTCATGTAGAAGCCGTTTCCCAACCGCCTCAAGCGCCTGCGATGGCCACTTCTGAAACCAATCGATGGTCGTGTTGTTGATAAGACTTGGGAAGTTGCGACAACGTGTGCGCAGAATTTGGCCAGAAGGACTCATTGAAAGCACCACATGCAAGTTCTCACAGCAGTGAGAGACAAAGGCCGTCCACTTGTTGTCTTTGGAGGGGACCAAGCCATCCGCCTCGACCTCCGCTACCACGCTATTGTAAAGCGGTTCCTTTTCCTCCTCGGTGAAAAGCGCGGGGACCATACCGGAGGCTAACATGTTGTTAATAAGCTCCAGAAACCCCTCTTCTTTCACGTGGTTGTCCATGAACAAAAACACAACCTTCTCCCTCTGTATACCGACACGAGTGTACAGGCGCTTTAGGTCCTCGCGGAACCCATCCTCGTTGTAGTGGCGAGAGAGCACAATCTCAAATACACCCATCCGGTACATGGCAGCCGCCAATTTTGTGAGAGACTGTTTGCCACTCCCACCAACGCCAATCAAGAGGCAGTTGCCACGGGGAAGGGAGAGAACACGCGTGATGCGAAGCAGGTGGTCCAGCGCCATGTCAAACATCACCAAATCCATCTTCTTCGTCGGTGTGTTAATCTCCTCCAGCATCGCCTCCACCAATGCGCGAGCCTTGTCATACTCCGCTCCAAAATCTTCGTAAATGCTCCGCGGTTCTACATCGCTCTCCGGCTCAAAGTCACCAAAGTCACCAAACAAGAAGGGCTCCGCCAGGGCAAACTCCATCGTGTCTGGAAAGTGCTTCATAATTTCATCCCGTGCAAGACCCGCGACAAACTCCTTGTCAGCAACATCTGACATGCGGTCCATAAAGACGTGAGAAATCTCATTGCGCCATAACCGCACAATACTTTTCGCGTCAGGAAACATCTCTGGGGTGGCTCGGCAGAGTCCTTCGTAAACCCTGGACAAATCACGTAAATTAAAAATGTAATGAAACTTGGTGGGCGTCGCAGGGAGTGTGATGAAGAGTTGTTGGTACAAGCTGAGTGTCATAGCTGTGAGCCGGTTCGGCAAGTCACCCAACTCCGCTGTCATCGACTTGTACGCGTCACACAAAATCTGACCGTAGATGGTGTTGATAGACTCATCGGAAGGAAACAGAATGTTGAAGATTGTGAAGAGTGACACAAAGCGTGGGTCAAGGGCGTTGCGACCACCACCAGGTGGAGCCATCGCCGCCACAAACTGTGTGTCCCGCACACTTTTAAAGAGTAAATCCTTTCGATCGTACCAGGAATGGTGCTCCACCAACAGCTTCAAAAAGGCGATGGGTTGCTGCGTGCCGTAGAGATCGACGCGGGGCATATTAATATCGTCCACAAATACCAAGAGCCGCTTCTTTGCTGGAGGACCAAGCACGGTGTTGGTGCGCTTCTCAATGTTGTCCTCCATGGCCCGTTGTGCGTCAAGGCTGGTGGTGCGAAAGCTGAAGTTCAGCTCCAGCAACATCTCCTCCAAATGCACGTCCTCGTCGGCAGCAGGGTCTGCCTCCTGCGAGCGCTGCCTCAGCTGTTTAAGGTAGGCCTGAATGGTGACCGTCTTTGCGGTGCCACTCTCACCCACCAACATGACAGGGGTCCGGTTGAGAATAATTTTATTTAGCAGCCACATGTTTCGCTCGGTGTCCACCGTAGACACAAGCAGGGAGCCAAACTTTGCCCCTGGTGGACGCGTAAACGGCTTCACTAGAATATGCCACGGCTTCCAACGGTTGTCGTCGAGGTCAAAGAAGTAGTCGTAGAGAGTTTTGCGCTCTGGGAGGGATCCACTACCAACAAAACGGGTGAGGAAGTTGTCGCCCACATCCTGCAAGTTCCACCCACTGAGCTTTTTCAGGAAGACGTCGAAGCGAACACGATCCTCAGCTGTGGCAATTAAAGAGCCAAAGCTCCACACGGAGCAAAACAAAAAGACACATTGCAATGCCTTTGGTTCCAGAGCCACTTGCTGTGGTAAGATAGTGTGTAGCATGGTGGTCAGCTGGCGGACCATGTTCACATCATTTGTCGGGATCACCTGCTTCGGAGGGTTCGTCACCGTATCTCCATCAATGCCATCAAACACAAAATTGATGAGCGGTTCCACGTACTTGTCAACGAGCTCGTTCAGGGTGTCTAGGTCGTCACGTGGACGCTTTAGCTTCCATGAGTACATAAAAGGTTTCCAACCAAGATTCACAGGGTCAACAAACACCATACCCACACGTGACACAGTGGCGGGCGAGGCATACTGTAAATCTCCCACCTCAAAAAGCAAGGAACTCGTCGGACGCAAACGAATACGTTCTCCATTGGGAAGCGTAAGCAGTTTGTTGTCATCCATAACAGAGTTCATATCCTCCACCCATTTGGCATCGACATCGCCATCAAAGACAACATAGCGACGCTCACGCTCGCCACCTTCATTAGGACGATTAATGGAACGAAAGATATTAGAAAAAATACCATCCGTCCAGCTTCGCGTAAGAGGATCCATGACACCATAGAGGGCAGTAGTCGGTTGAGCCTTCGGATTGATGATGTACAGCTTCGTTAGTAGTCCGAGATCTGTTTGTGCCTTACAAAGGCAGTTAATCACAGCTGACTTGCCACCCCCTGTGGGACCAACCACCATAGATGTGTGCCGTGTTTGCATCGTCTCGTACAGTTGCACCACTTTATCAACCTGTTTGGCGTCCACGTAAAACTCCTGATCCTTGAAGACTTTGGTCGCAGCCTTGGAAAGATTTTCTTGCGGTGCACGCGTCGGGTCAAGGCCAGGAAACAAATCTCCAATGAGACCTTTAAAAAGCGGTTCATCCTCGGCGACAAACTTCGGGGTATTCATGTCGCGCAGTGCACGCATCAGCACCGAGTCTTCCGATAGCTCAGGTGCGCCACGTTTCAGCTGCCCTGCCATCACCAGTACTGCTTTTAGTGCACGCAGACCCCAGTCATAGTGGTACTGTTTTGAGAGTTGCCCTCGGGCGAGTTGGTAAAGCGTCACCATCTTCTTGGCAAGTTCACGCGCCGTTCTGAAGCCCTCAGAAAAAAGCATGTTCTCCGCAATTAACTCCATGTCCGGCACAACCATCACCACCGGCCGAAACAGGGCCTTGAGATTGTCAGGTAACTCAACACGACCGGCGTAGCCAGGATTCATCGTGATAAAGACACCGACTGTTGGCACCAGACGAACTGTGCTGTCACCAAAGAGGAATTCTTCATCTCCAGCCTTCAGAGCACTTTGAATGCAACGCAGTTGCTCCGACACCACAGAGAGCACGGGCAGTTCAATGCGGTTAAACTCATCAAAGCAGCCCCATGATCCCGTTTGCGAAAGTCCAGAAAAGATGCTCCCCATCGCCTTGTAGTCTAACCCCTCGCCACAGTTAAACACCACACACTGAATGGCCAGCGCCTTGGCGAGATCCTTGACGGATTCGGTCTTCCCCGTCCCCGCCGGGCCACCGGGGGCACCACCAAGGTAGAAGGAAAGCGCCTGCGTCAAAGTCATGAAGCAACGGTCTGTTAACGGCGTGATCACAAGTCGACCATTCAACCCCATATATTCATAGCCGTAGTTAAACCGACCTGTACATTGCCGTATAACGCAGGTGTCCCCCTCACGCTCCCAGTAGAACCGTAGTTGGGATTCCCAATCAAACTCACGAGCATCCGTGACGGAGTCTCGCACAAAGCGATCCACAATATCCCTCCCGTGCACGTCCACAATGATTAGTGTGTTAACTTTTTTAGCGTACTGCTTCTCAATGTCCTTGTCCATTTCTCCCACGAGATCAATGAGTTGTTGTGTTAGTTTCCCTGATAAATCCTTCACTGAACTTTTCTTTCCCTTCTTGAGGGCGTTAAAAGCATCCTCAACCTCAAACGTCCACCAAATTTTCGCCCCTGTGAGTGCCACCATGCCGTGATACTTCTTTAACCAATCCAGGCGTTGCATACGAGGGTAGTAGTAAACGCCCGCCTTGAGAGTGTCACGCAGCGTCGAGCGGGACTCCTCCAGAACCTCCTGCAGCCACTGTTCCACAGGCGTGTCCATGGTTGCCACTGGGCGGTCAAAATTCACTATCTCACCCTCCTGCGATTCCACCCCGCAGATGGTTTCAGCCTCGTCTTTCTTGAAGATGAGATAAGCGCAGTTGTCAAACATCTTCAGCATGTGATCTTGCACCGCCTTCGCACTTCTGGCAGCCAAAATGGAGAGCAACTCATCGTCGGAGATAAAGTAGAAGCGGGGAAACATACGCCGCTTTGTCTCAAGATAGTTGGAGAGGTCCTTCTGACACTCCTCGAGCTTCTCCTCCAGGATGCGAAACTCCTCAAGACGACCCGTCACATTGCAGCAGATGTCCACATTCGGCGCCGAGGCTGTTTCATTCATGATACGAACAAACTTCTTGTCCAAGTCGTTAAACTTTGCGGTTTCCTTCGGAAGTTGATTGGCAATGTCGTCACTGCCCTTGAAAATAGACTCCAAATATTGCCACTTCACCTGCACCGCAATCCACACCGCAATCACGTCGTTGATCATCGCCAACTTCTTTTCCCAGAGCTTCACATCATCTATGAATGGTTGCGCCCACTTCACGTTAGCAATGGATTGCATCTTCAAAATGTTATCATCCACAGCCTCTTGAATCTCGCTTGTATCGCTCAAAACACAGCAGTGAATTTCACCCTTACGCGGTTCATACGGCACCGGTGCAAACTCTGCCTTTGACCAAAACTCCTTGACAGCCATAATGTCCTTCTCCACCGCCTGTTCCCGCGCCGCCGTCAGAATAATTGTGTCAATGGCGTCCGAAAAACGGTACAGTTCCATGGCAATAAAATCATCCAAATTAATTTGCTCAATCGAAAACTGTTTCCCTGTAACCCGCATGAGCTCCATCCAGTGACGCTGCTTCAGCGCCGGGCTCTTCAACTTTGCCAACAGTGGCAATGAGGAGTGAAAGTTCAGAATAAGCTGCTGGACGTCACTAAAGGGGTGCACATTCCCATGCGTCTTACCGAGCACGCGTGCCTGCTTTACCTTCTCATCGGTGGTGGTTTGAAGGTCCTCCAGAAGAAGATCCTTCCAGCTGCTGCGATTCCAACGCTTTAAGATGGCGACCCATCGCTCGTAGAGATCGTACACTGCCTCCACCCTTGTCAGCTCCTCGTTCAACTGTTGCAGGCAGGTGTGACCTGTAAGCGGCAAGTCAAACAGTTTTTCGGCCTTCGTCAACTTATCACGTTTCGCCTGCAGCTGTGTCAAGTGTTCCCGCCACTCCTTCTTGAGATTATTGCCCTCCTGCAAGTCAATATGGGCCCGACCAGGGCCCTTTTGATGAAACTCCTGCAACACAGACTTGCCCCCCTCAAGGAAGGCCACCACCTCCGCACGCGTATACGTCCGGAATTGCAGCTTCTTCGGCTCCAGTTCTTCCTCCAGGTTATGCAGCCGCGCGAGGGTACACTCCCACAAGTCTTGAAGCGCTAAGGCCTCCTTCAGCTCCTGTGGGTCCACCTTGACGCCGAAGTGCATAATGGACTCATAAATGTACCTGATTTCACGGATGTCCTGCTCCACATCCAGGGAAGTGGCACGGGCGTCGTGCATGGCTTCTAGTACAAACTTCAAATCATCAATGCTTTCACACGGCCGCTGTAAATTTTTATTTACAAGGATAATAAAATTCAAACGCTTCTGCATGCGTGCCCGAACTGTGTCATTCATTTGTGCCCCCTCCATCGCAATCCACTGATGCACATGCTCCACCAGCTCTGCATAAAAGGCGCTTTCGTCGCAGCGCATAAAACCAAAATCGTGTATGTGTTCCTCGGCATCAAAATCCGCAATCATATTAAAGTAGAGCTGAAACTTCGCGTCGTAGTCAATCCAGTGAAATTGGCTCTTTGCCTGCTGCTCCACAGAAAGTTTTTTGTCCGCGAGGTAAATAAAACGGTAGCGCTGAAGTACCTTCATATTTGTTGCAAGCGCAGACAAATGAGTTTGAATGGTGCGATTTATGATCGCCTGGAGCTTGTGCACCTGCGGAAGATCATTGATCTCCTTGTAGTAGGTAAAGAGTGTATCCTGCTCACCCTCCGGTGGCCGTGGTACCAGTTCGCCCTGTGTGAACTCAATACACGTTCCCCGCATCCACCGCTGAAACCGCTGCGAGGACTCAATGATGCTGGATTGAACCTTGTGAAACGCACTCGTGATCTCCTGCTGCGGTGGTGAGAAGGTTGGCTCCGTCGTCAAAAAGACCAATACCTTAAAAAGCGGGGGACGCTTTGTCGTTGTAGAGGAGCTGCGGTATCCCACCATTTTTGCAAAGGCTAGCAGAGAGTTGAGCACCATCCGCGTGAGCGCCTTCCAAATGCGATGCTCCCAGTGCAGGTAGTAGCTCTCCAGGATGAGGCACTTCCCTGTGTGGGTGCCAACCAGCTGACTCTCCATCTTCGTCAAGAGGGGTTTGGCGGTGCGGTATGCACGCAGGCACGCGTCGACCAAGTCCGTGCGACGTCGCTCAATCGTGTCCACGAGGACCTGCAACTCCGGCAGTTCCCCACCAGCCTGTAGCAGTTGCTCAAACTCGGGAATAAGTCTTGTGGAACCAATTTTGTTCACCACCTGCGTCTGAATGTGATCGGCGCGCTTGCGAACTTCCCGGCTTAAGTTGCGAAACTTTGTGATGGCGCGCTCGCAGTTGGTGATGAAGTCCGGTATGCCTAAACTTGTCCAGTTGATGTCATGGATCCCTGGCTCGAGGGCAAGCCTCAGTTCCCGAATGTTTCTGCCCAAGATAACGCGCTCCGGACCATTCAGGGCCCCTTGTAACTCGCAGTTAAAGCTTACCAGCATCGCCTTGAGCGCGTCCACATTCGCATGGTAAGACTCATCCTGGAGCGTGACATTAATGGCCTCCTGTGGCACTTCAAAGCCGAGGCGGTCTAGATACTTCGCCTCCCGTATGATGTTAAAGAGGGCGATGTCAAAGTTTGCGACGTACGCGTCTCGCGGCCCTTTACGAAGAATATTCATCTTTAGCGACGTTGTCGTCGTCTGCCGCACCCCCCCGCACCATTGAATAAAACGTGTGGTGGCATATTCCTTCATTTGCCGCGCCACCTCCACGTATTTCGCCCGCACTTGTCGCCCCATGGCCGTGGCCAGCATGCCCTCCTGCTGAAACCGCACAATCGGCTTCTTTAACCTCTGAAACAGGGACGTGCTCCAGTGAATGGCACCTGCCACCGGAGGCTGATTCTTTGTGAGTGGGGGATTCTCGCAGTGCGAGACGAAGATGCCTCGCACCCGCTCCACCTCGCTAAAGTACTGTGCCAGAATACGATCCGCCTTTTCCGATAGAAGTGACGCGGTGTCAAAGGCCTCACCGACCCGCTGGGGGCGAGACGCGATGCCTTTAAAGGAGAGCAGGAGCTCAAAGGCAGACTCGGCGCTCCGCAAGTCATCATCAAAGATTTTGTTGATAAACACAGAGACCTCATGGTCCAGGTTGGCAACGGTGTTTACAAAGTTGGAGTAAACCACCTGCCAGTTGTGCGTCGCCTTGCGCTCAAAGGGGTCAAATGTGAGGGTCTCAAACGGGCGCTTGACACGATCCACATCCTTCAAAATGCGTTCAATGCCGCTGGTGTCGGTGAGTACGGTTTTTAGCTGCGCCCCCAGCACCGTGTTGTAGTATTCCACCGTCTCTATAACCTCCAACAAATCGGTGCAACGATCAGACATGTAGTCGGTTGTTTCAAATAGGCGCTTCTGGTTAAAATTCCACGGCTGTTCACGCTCACTACTATTAATCTCCTCCTGTACCGTGACATACGTGGATTTCCATTTGAGCAGGCACTGCTGTCCCTCACTTACCTTCGTTTTAGCCTCAGCAAAGGGCAGACTCAGAATACTACGAAAATCAATGTGTTGTGAAACTTTTTGAGCAATTAGTTTTCCAACCTTCTCCAATAAGCCCACCATACGCTCCTCCGTGCAGTAATAGCGAGAGATAATCCACACCATGCGTACTCCTGTCATCATAGATGACAGCGTGTCAATGATCGGCTGAAGCGAGCCAGAACCTGGCGTCACCCCTTGCAAGGCACGAAAATGACGGTCCAAAGTACCAAGAAATTTCACATTGTCCTTTGCCTCAGCGTACTGACGAAAAAATTGTTGAATAGTCGTGGAGATCAAGTGAAAGGAGTTACATTCTGCTTCTTTTGCCACCTTCAAGATAAACTTTGCCTGGGGTGAGTTAATCTGCTCGTACAAGGCGCTAATAGTACTATATTTTTCACGCCAGTACTCAATCTCCCCAAGCGGACCTTCCTTCTGTGGATCAAGCGACATGGCATAGCTTATCTCCGCCTGCCACTGGGCAACGGTGATGTCAATCTGCTTAATAACATCCTCGTTGGCAAGCGCAGACTTCATTCCGGAATCGGAGTACCCCATAGACACCAGCACCTGTGGAATCGGGAGTCGCCGCTCCGCACAGACTTGATTTCGAAACCCCATCATTTGCATGTCGATACGCTGCACCCAGTTCAAAATTTCAGTGTAGAGTTGTCGGTTTGCCAGCTTCTTGGCGACCATAGAACGGCCTCGCCCAACGGAGGCCACCACGTCTTCTACAATTGGCGCGTAGGCGTGTTCTAACAGAGTATGAAAGGAAGACAGTGAGGGTACGACCATGCAGGAAATCTCAAAAGCCTTATGGATGGGGCAGTGGGGTTCGGTCTTCCAATCACTCACAAGCTCTTTGGTTAACTGTACATTGTCGACACGAACAAAAAAGATGCACCTTGTCCGGTCTGGTGGATAATTCGCGGAGCCGGTAATGTTGGAGTTCTTAATCGCCTGTGTCGTAGCAAACAACTTTGGAGGAAGTTTTCGCTGCTCTAACGTGGCAGGTTTGTTTACGATGCTGCCGCCTTCCGTTGATGTGTATTCGCTACAGAAAATGGAGAGAAAGCGTTCCCGTGGGCTCTCGAAGAGCCCTACGATTAGTCGCCTGGCGGTCTCGTCGCTGTACAGTTCTGCGATGGACTCATCTTCCACACCGTAAAGGCAACTTTTCACGCGAGCCGCAAGCCACGCAAGACGCGGGTCATCGTTCACTATCGGTAACTCCCCCCTCGGCTCGTATACTGTAGCTGATGCTGAAAGTGTCATTGTAATTGATGGCTCTGAGCGTTGTAGAAATAGAGAAAAGTGGGGCGGTACACACAGTAAACGCAAGAGACGGTGTGAAGGCTAAAAAGCAAAGATCACAAGCAGAAATAAGGAGATTCAAAAACACACCAAACAGAATATATGAAGTCAGCCAAACAGGCCTGAAGGATTGACCTTCTCTGCGTACATGTCAATGTGTGCGCGTTGACATCACCGAACGGAGTGCCCTCAACACACAAACACACAAAGACACAGAAAAGCCGAAGGCTGGTAAAACATGGAAAGAGCACAAAACAAGCCGGGACTCCGAAACATAAAGCGTGGTGGTCGAAGGGGGAGAGGATATGAGACACACCATATACATTGAGTCTGCACGGATGCTCCAAACCGTATCGCTACCAAACGCACAACGAAAGCAAAAATAAAAACAAAACAAAAAACTCCATGCCCGAGTAAGCTTGAAGACAACGAAGACTAAAGACCTGGAGATACATGGTGGCCAAGCGAAAGATCGTATAAAAATTTCTCGCCAGGGTTTGTCAGCACCTCATGCGCATGATTGATGAGTTTAAATTGCTCCAACGCCACCTGCTGCATCTCCACAGTCTCCGTCACAACGCGGTCAGGATGATAGACGAGAGTCAGCTTCTTAAACTGTGCACGGGCCTCTGCAATAGTGGCCCCGCAAGGCAACTGAAGGACGTCGTAAAGCGTCTGCTTCACCCCCAACTTGGGTACAGGCTCTGCGCCCCGTGAGGGCTGGCCTTCTGCAGACTTGGGCCCATACGAAAACTCACTTTTTGTCGTAAAGGCATCATACCACTTCGGCCGCCGCCTCGCAGCCTCCGGCTCGCTGTGTGGTGTTCGAGGGAGCTCAGGCTGAGGCAAAAACTGTTCCTCGTCGCCGCGCAGAATGTGTCGCAAGTTTGGGCTTAAGCGAACAGCTCTAAGGCGATCTATTGCTGCCTCGGCCCGCTGGTTCATCTTTTGGTAGGCCTCCGCACGAAGGACAAAGGCCTTTGCGCAGCTGGAGTCCATCCCTATCGCGGCGGTGCAGTCGCTGATGACGTTCATGCTCCTCCCCAGGTGGGCGTAGGCCTCCGCCCGCATGCTGTACAACGCAGCACACATTAGACGGTTAGATTTATCTAACAGCAACCCCTCATGAATGAGAGGAATGGCCTCAGCGTAGCACTCCCTTGCAAAGAGCGACGTCACGCGTGACAAGATCTCCTCCAGAGAGACAAGATAGTGCCCAAGCAGAAGTGCAGGGCCAAAGCTGGGACTGATCGTCAAACATGTCTGAACCAGCGCCGCCGCAAGCTCTAAAAAGGAGCTGCCACAGTACGCGCTAGCCTGGGCCAGCAAAACGGCGGCTTGCAAATAGTGCTCGTCCAACCCACGCCAGGCCTCCTTATCCTCCCAGGACATTTCCGTGTTGGCAAAAGGAGGTCGCGGAATAGTTGGCACATATGACAAAAGCCGCAACCGCGCCATATTCGGGTTAACATGTAGCAACGCTCTCGCCTCTAAGAGAAGTAGTGGTGTGCCATCGATAAGCGGTTTGGCCGCATCCTTCACCTGCAATGCCTTGTCCCACATTCGCTCCTTGATGAAGTGACGAAACTTCTGCAAGGCTGATATCGCATCAGCTTCAGCCTGCCATTTCACATTGACGAGGATCGTTTATTGAAGGCACTAGCTGATGAAGCGCGTGGTCGTAGCATTGACGTGCCTCTGCGTAGCGCTCACGAAGCAGCAAGGAACGACAATGAAGCGAGACGATGCCTAAATCTACCCCGCCACCCTTGCAAGCATCCTCAATGCATTCATCGTAGAGTAACAGGTGCCAACTACACATGGCCCGTTTGTAGCGTGCTATCTTAGACTGGGGATTCTGTTGCAGCGCCCGCGTAAAAGACACGTACGCACCCCCGTAATCCCTCGACGTAAGTAGACGAATACCCCGGTCCTCATTTTTTGTGAAGCGGATATTTAATTCCGGAAGACAACCTTGTAACATTCCCACGAGATGTTTGCGCTCGATGGCCTCGTTGGCAATCATAAGCCTCCTACATGCCCCTTCCTCATCGCTAACCCGGCGCAGCGGACACGTTCCATCCGTTGGCATAGTGGCCACACACCCAGCGACGTGGCTCCTACCCGCCCGCTTCTTCTTCATGGCACAGTACTCCCACTCCCACGTCGTCTCGCCATGATGAATTGCAGACGTCCTCCCCATGTCACCTTTCCTTTGCGAGAAAAGGGACGCATTGCTAAAAGAACGGACCCCATTTTGGTGGAAGCGTCTTTCTTTCCGATCTATCCTTGGGAATAGGCACATCTGCTCCGGTGAGACCGTCTGTGAAAAGTCCCTCCGCATGATGCGTGGGTGCATTCTAAATACACACGCACGCACCCCACCCCCCTCCAAGCCTCCACAAAAACGCCGCGGCGTGTGAAGGATAACGACAAAAACCTCTTACGCCAGTAGACTGTCTCTCGCGGACGCTGGCGCCTATCCCCCTGCTGGTTGGGTTTCCAGAGAGACCAGCAGTATGGATAAAGCAAAGGGCAAGCCGCGGGAGGAAGAACAAAAATAAAGAAAAAAGACAAAAAGGCAGAGAGAATCCGACACACAACTACTTCAAAAGAACAGAAGGACCTTCGCCAGGCACACCACCTCGCACATTACACACACAGGCACACCCACTCGATGCATCTTCGCTTCATATTTTTTTTTGTTTTTTTTTTTGTTCTCATTCCTTCCTTCCTGTTATGTGCCCCACAACTCCAGCATCCCACCGCGCCTTTACAGTTTTTATCTCGGCAGAGCCGCGGCCAGAAAAACGTAACCCACAACGCATGCCCCTCACGTCTAGGGAAGGGGCGTATTTGTGTGTAAGTCATCGGCCACGCGCTGTTGGAGACAAGTAAGTGTCCCGCAAGAGCCTCGTGTGAAGCCCAAAGTTTCTGCGGAGTGTGTTTCTGTGCCTGCCGTCGTATTAGTCGCGTCCTCGCTTCAATGTACGCCGTGCGCCAAACCCCTTGCCGTTTCCCCTATCGTCCAACGCGTTGGTCATCACCTGCCCCGCCTTCACCAACGCCGGGCTGGTGCGCAGAGCGTCGGGAAGCTGGAAAAAAACAATAGAGGCGCCCCGGACAAACACGCTCTTCATTTCCACTGTGCGCCCCGACTTCACCGTCTTCTTTGCGGCTGTGAGCATGACATTCATGTTATCCTGCACCTCGCTCAGCGTGCCCGTGTAGAGCTCCCCGTTAGACACCTCCAGCGAGATCGTCGTTCCAATAGCGTCGAACAACACCTTCAGCGGGATACTGAACGTGCTCATTCTCTAACACGCAGGAAAAAAACAAAACCAACAAAAAAAAAAAGATGCTGCCTTGGCACAGACAAAACGGCGCTCCCCACTCCACATAACCAAACAAAGAAACACACACACACAAGACAAAAAAAAAAAACGGAGCATACAGAATGGAACGGAAAGGCAAAGCAGTGGAGCATTTCGAGAGATAAAAAACACAAGAAGGCAGAAACCAAAAGAAAAGGGGGGTGACCTGCAAAGAAACTAAATTTTTTTTACCGAGTTAAAGAGTCTCTGCTTCAAAGAAGAAAAAGAAAAACAACTCGTTTGATTTCCGTGCATCTCCTCCGCAAGGGGTCTCTTGATGTGCTGCTACCGCCCCCCACCCCACCTCTTCGCCTCCGCAGCTCCACACATGCCTACCTTCTACACGCCTCAGAAGACTCTAAATAAGATATCGTTTGGCGACGCGCGGTCGTGCGTGTCCAGAATTTGATAGGCAATCGACGCCAAAACGGAACCTCCCAGTGGCGCAACCCAATAGATCCAAAAAAAGATAAGTGGCTTGCAGTTTCCGCCAATACAGCCAACCAGCTGCGTGCCTGTGGCCACGGCAGGATTAAAGGCACCGCCAGTAAAACCACCCACTGCAAAGGAGGCGGAAAGTACAGTCATGCCAATTGCAAACCCGTAAAATTCATTGCCCCGCTGCCTAGAGTAGTTCACATGCAGCACCACGGAGGCCAGGGCGAAGGTGTACACCATCTCACATAAGATGGCCTGCCACACACTCACTAGAGAGACATCCGTCGAAGGAACGGGAATGTTGAGGCCAACGATGGCTGAGCCGTACAGAGCTGCCAAAAAAGCTGCCAAAATCTGTGCGAGGATGTACAACAGCGCCTTCTTGATGTAAATCTTGCCATTGATCAACGTGGCAAAGGTGACGGCTGGATTAAAATGAGCTCCACTAATGTATCCAAAGGAGAACGTCATCGCTGCTAGCATAAAACCAATCGGCAGTGGGGCCAGTGATCCCACACCCAGCGAGGCCAAAGGAATAGTTAACACGAAGAGAAAAGTACCAATAAACTCCGCCGCAACCTCGCTCACAAACGGAGAGAACGCCATGCCAAGTAATCACCTTATTTGTTTCGTTTCACGTCAAGAGTAACCCAGCATATATGGATTGTGTAGGTATGTTATTTATGTCTGTGTGTGGTTGTGTCGGTACGTAGAGCCGCTATTCTCCCTGTGACACAGCTGGCGCTTCACCGGTAAGGAAAACGACACAGAGCGGAGGAGTGGACAACAGGAAGGACGCGGGTAAAAGTCAGAAAAGACGCTGCAACGCAGCACACGTCAAACCCAAATAAATAAATAAGGCCAAACCAAAGATAATATATATATATATATATTCTCTCCTTCCATTACGACACGGGCAATTCTTCTTCTTCCACCAACACCCCCTTGTCCTTGTCAGCGCAGCACACCATTGCAATAGTGCGCCAGTCACTCTGGTACAGGTCCACGTCTTGCAACTGCAGCAGCGCCTGCAGAGTCTCCGGAAACTCCTGCTGCACGCAACCCGTCCAAAAGGCCTGCGAATCCGCAGAAACGTACAACCACGTTCGCCAGAGCTTGCACACGTTTTCCGCCACATTGAAGGTGAACTCAACCGGCAAGAAGGACAGAATCGCCAACACGATAGAGCACTGCTTATGCCACGGCTTGGCAAAATTGCAGCTCGTACCACCCACCGAGAGTGCTTCTCCCGCCAACGCAGCGCCTGTCATCGCTCCTTGAGCTAGCAACGTCGAGAGGTGGTCCGCAAATTGTGCAATAATCGCCTCCTCTGTCAGGTCCAGCTCACTCCGCTCCATCGGGGTCAGTCTGGGCAGTGAGGGGAGATCAATGTTCCCCATAACATCGTCAATACTCCGATAGGCGTCTCTTGCCTGACTCCGCGCCTGAAGTAATGTTGCGTAGGCTTCATCTAAAGCCGCCACCATGTCAGGGGTGAAGAGGCGCGAGTTGGAGGCCACCATCCCCCTACGACTAGGCACTGGGGCTCGCAAATACTCCGCCAATAGAGCGGCGACGTCCATGCGTAGGCCTCTGAAGAAAGAAAGGAGAGACACAAAAATTTCATGAACAACATCAACGCCGAGAAGGCAACCCGCCACATGACACGCGTGGTGGCGTGAGTGGAGTCAAGGGAATTAAAAAAAGGGACGAGAGACGGCAATGAGCGAGAGACGCAAGGGGGAAGAAAAGCACCTCCCCCAATCATGGAGTGACCCCTAGTAAAAAATGGGAAACCGGTAGAAACAAACCAAGTGCAGGAAACTGCCACACAATGCGCTCCACCAGCCTCAATAAGATGGGAGATAAAATGCAAGTAGAAGTAGAAGGCTGTACGTGCTCAACAAACGCAAAAAAAAAAAGCGGGGAGATATATATATATATATATATATACCATACACAAGAAAAAGCAAGCGCTTGTTATCTATAAATGGAATCTTCCTCAACCGCAGAAGCCGCTAGCGTGACCTCCTTAAAGCTTTTGATGAGATCCTGAAGGGCATTTGAAAATTCAAATTGGTGCGCATTGAGTTTGCTACTGTCCTGCTCACTCGTCCTCTCCCTAAGCAATTCATCTTCCAGCTCGATGTCAGAAAGAATTGACCATAATCGTTTATTCTCCTCTTGCGTCTTCTGATACCGAGACCGGGTGAAATGCAGTCGCTGCTGCAACTCACCCATCTCATGTTTCCCATAAACATCAGCCTCAGTCCGTAAATGCATTTCAGCACTGAGGTCCTTCTTTACGGCGGCGGATGGTACCGCCTCCATTTTCGCTAGCTTCGCCTCAGCCTCCTCAGCCTCGGCCTGAAGTCGTGTCCTCCGCCTTTTGGCTGCAGCTATCAATCGATGCAAGTTCTTCTCCCGCTGCACAGCCTTCTCTATCTTACCCTCCAGCTCCTGTACCGCAAGCTCCACCGCCGCAGTCGCCTCCACCTGCTTACGCATACTCTTATCCAGCACCGCAAGCCGCTGCATCCGCTTCTCAACAGCCCGCCGCGACTCTCTGGCCTCTGACTTGATATCCGTCACGAACGCCCTCCAGTCGAACGGCCGCATGGTTGACAGCGGCAGTGGCTGAGGTCCCACGTCAGCGTCATCAAGAGGTGCCGTGGGGCCCTGCGAGGGCTGCCCCGTTAGAGCCGTCATGCAGGCCAAACGAGGAAACACCCACAAAAACAAACAAAAAAACAAATAAAAAAAGAACACGCAGATAATGTGTGAGCAGCGGAAACCACTGCAAGAGTAACTTCCCTAAAGCGCCGTTGTTCCTGCCACGTGCAAGGGAAGCTTCATGCAAAGAAAAGAAAAAAAAAGACAGTGAAGCAAAACAAAACAAAGATAATAATGGCGGGGGTAAACGCCATAGGGGCAAACCAAAGACAAAAGAGAATAAAATACAAGCAACTGGTTTCCTCTCATCCCGCACATAATAATAATAATAATAGTAATGCGTCACATGTTCACTCGTTTCCCTCTGGCTGCTTCCCGTTGAAACAACAGTCGCAATAAATATTTAAAATAACCAGAAGTAAATAGGCGGGGTAAAGGGGAAACAGCAGGGAGGCCCCTGCAGACACACATCACATAATTATATGTGTGTGTGTGTGTCCGCTTGTTGGCCCCTCACTTTTCAAAGCGCATTGAGTACCCGCCGCTATTCGGGTCCTTTTCAAATTTAAAATTGTCAGTCGACAACCCAAAGTAGTTGAGGAAACGATTTCCCAAATCCTTCAAGTCCCCAAGCATCTTCTTCATCTCCTCATCCACCTTCGCCTTTGCGGCCGCCTTGTGGGCACAACCCTCCACGTCCAACACTCCGCCCTGTTTTTCGTACTCCTCATAGTCCCCATATGCGTTGGACCATTTGTTAAGCACGTAGTAGCACTCCGCCCGCCGAAAAAATGCCTTGGCGTACAGACCATTGTGCCGTATGGCCTCTGAAAAATTGGACACCGCATCCTCGTAGAATTCAAGCTTCGTCAAACACAATCCAGCGTTGCAGTAAACCTGCGAGGTGAGCGTGTAGTCGACACCGTCGTCGTCGTCTGCTGCTGCTGCTGCCGCTGCCCTGGACGCATCCGCCTTGGTATCGTTCCCATCGCATGCGGTGCTGCCGCCGCCGCCTTCCTCTGCGGGGGGCGAGTTCGCCTGTGTCCCAGAAGCGGAGGGTTTCTCTTCGCCCTGGACCTCCTTCCCCGCTTCTGGCGCCGATTCCTTTCGGACGGGTTTGAGCGGCGCCACCTTCAGCGCCTCACGGTACATCTCCAAAGCCTCCGCCACATTCCCACCTGCAAACAGCTCGTTGCCCCGCTTCTTCAGCCGCTCACACTCCGCCACGTCAACCGCGCACGCACGCGCTACAGCAGCGTCCCCCGCCGGGCATGTGGCACCCGCGTCGTCCGCACGCAACTCTTCCACGACCGGCATCGCACAAACTACCAACACGCAACCTACAAGCCAGGAGGCCCACAAAAGTAAAAAAACAAAAGCAAGAAACTAAAAAAAAAAAGATGTCGACTAATTTCAAAAGAAGAAGAAGACACGCTGGAAGGCATGCAAGAAATTGCAAAAAGAAGAAAAACAACCAAAGCAAAAAAAAAAAAAAAAACTCGAAACGGCGGCAACTCTACTCCTCCACCGATGCGTAGAACAGCAACGTGACGGTAAGACGACAACTCCGCCTGGAAGGCGCCCCACACAATGTATTCAAATAAAGAAATTGGCAAGGACAACTGCCTTCAAGTGGTACTTGTGATTCACGTGACGCCCGGCACAGTACATGACGCGGGTTCCAAGTGGGACACGCTGATCGTTCATCAAAATGCATGTATTTCTATCAAAGTTTGTTTGAAGCCCACTCATCCGTGTATTTGTTTGGCGTCGGGAGAGCAGACAAATCCAGTAGATATTCCCGGGCTTCACACGGTGCCGACTCACCTCTCCCCGACCAGACTTAAAGCGCTGCACTGAAACCCGGTGCGCCACTGCAGGAAAAATGCGGCAGTGTGCAAAACGCTCAGCGGTGGCCTTCGATATGAGCCGCACGTGTTTGCAGTTTGTGTTGTCAACGCAGTGGAGTTTCACCTGATCGCTGAAGGGGACACCTGTGCCGTACCCCTCCGCCCCCGTCCCCCAGCGAGAACGGTACGATGACTTCCTTCGGATGATGAGATTGTACCTGAACCATGACTTATTCACAGGCTTGCCCGCCGGGAGCTTTGCCGCGGCATCTGTCGTGGTCGGTGCCAGGCGAACGCCCCACCGACGCAGCATCGCACACGCGGTTGGAACCTACAAACAAAACTGAGAGAAAAGGCGAGAAACAGATAGGGCTAAAAGCCGGCGCCGGCAATGGCTAATGAGCCTCAGAGAATAGCCGCGAGAAAACGTATTCAGAATCGCGTGTGTGTTTGTGTGTGTTGTGGTCTCAGGAAAGCACGGAGTCGACATCATTCCGCCCCTTAAATATAAGATTTCTAGGCTCATTCGATACGGCGTGACGGTTCCGCTCAAATTCGCGCCGCAACTCCGCCCGCAGCGCCATCAAATTTGCGACCGAGTCATTCATGTTACCCCCCACTTCCCAAGTTTTTCCTTTGCCTTCTGGAACTCCTCTACCGCCCGGTGTTCCCACGCCACCTCAACAGGTACCTCCTCCTCGGACTGGGTCGCGGGAACCACGTTGCCAAACACGTAGTCCTTGTGGTGCAGGTACGGGTATGGGTCAACGCCCTTCTGCAGGCACAATCGCACATGCTCCCCCTCCTTCTGCCAGCGGATGTCATTCATGAGGTACGGCTTGAGTACCGGGTAAAGCAATAATGGAAGGACAGAAATGCGGGACGAAGCAAAAATAATAACAACCCAGGGAGACTCCTGCCCAATGCGTTGTCCGATAAGGGCGAAGGGTGCGCCTACGGCCGATAGTACGGTGTTACACCTGTCGCAAAACCGGTGCATCACATCCACCGTGTAGGTGGTGCATCGCAGCTTCAATCGGGCAAAGGCGAACGATATGTGGGTTAAAGAATGTCTCGCCCCCCGCTCCCCGCTCCCCCGCTCCCTCGTGCGCCTACACGTGTCGCTTGCCGTACTTCCACCGGGTGTGGGCGTCCTGCACACCTCCAGGCAGTGTGGCCGCACTAACGGCAAAACAGAAACTCAAAGCAAACCAAAGGGAGAAACGAAAAAAAAAAAAAAATGACGCGACAAAAACAAAAATAAACGCGGCACTCTCACCGCCAGCACCTCCAGTAAGCAGCAGGTAGCAAAGAGCTGCGAGGCACAGAATTAAAAGAAGTATCTCAAGAGTCTCCCCAGCAACAGTTCCTCCGTGGGGCTCAGCGAGCCCGTGACCCAAGGCTGAAGCTCGTAATCGAGGATCACCTCCTCCGCGGCAAGCAAACCGCGCTCCAGAACGACCACGGCAAAGAAGTGCTCCTCCATCAAGCGCTGGAGCTCCCTCTCACCATCGATACCCCCTCGCTCCGACTCCTGCACGAACCATGCGCGATACCAGCTAGGCAATTCCTCCACAGTGAATGCCACCTCCACCACAGCATTCCGTCGCCTGTCAACGCCATCGTCCCCGTTGATGAGGTCAACGAAAGGCAAAATCCCCATCTCTACAGAGTCACCTGGTGCCGTGGTCCAGCATAAAGGCAAATGTTGAGCTCTCGACAACACGACGTCCACCGCCCCACTAAAGTAAGAAAGTGAGGGTACCACGTTTTCTTCAGCAAATATCGCATGCGCAGTCTTTACCTCATCTTTAATTCTGCGTCGGACATCCGTCAGGTAGGGCAGGAGTGCCGTGTAATGAAGTCGGCATAGGCGCTCGCTATTTTCCTCCATTGTATTAAACGATGGAGAACTCGGCAAGACGCTTAGCCATCCCCACCAAGGCGAAAAAGCCCGCTGACGCTCAATCGCAAGATGCCATGCAAGCTTCGCCCATTGGCTTGCACTGCAACCCAGTATTCTCGATAACGCGCCGTCGTTCAGGCGGTGAAGTTTCAGTAGTGCACCCGTCTCAACCATCCGCAAATTAGCTCCCAGTTTCTCTAGGGTCGTCACGGCACAAGCACGTCGCGAGGGAACCACCAGCAGCGGGGTACCCGCATCGCACGCATCCTTTACAAAAACCCCATACCCCACAGACGCGTCACGTTTTTCAATCAGCACCGTGTCATGCAGCCCAAGGCGCTTCAGAATTGCGTATGTTGCGGTGTATTCGGCGAATTTGGCAGCTCGCTGACCTCGCATTATCCGTGGGCCACGCAGCTTAATCCACACGCCTTGCAGGCGCGCCCGTAAAAATAAATAAATAACACACACACATACATGCATGCACAAAAAAAAAAAGAGATTTAAGAGGCAAACATAATAATAATAATAATAATAATAATAATATCTCGACAAAGATACACACCATTGATTGCGGATGCGCTGGGAATAAAAGAAGGCACAGGAGGCCTCTTGAAGGACAGAGGCAAAAAACAAAACAAAAAAAAACAAAGAGCTGCAATTGTGGCACATAGTAAACATGTATGCATGCATGCGTGTGTGTGAACATAGATGATAACAACAAATGATAATAACAACTGTACTCCCATCATCTCCACCAGCGCCCACCCATATGTTGTCCATCCTCTGCAGAACAACACACAGACACCAAAAGAAAACGGCAAAAAGTCATGCAAAAACAAAAGAAAGGAAAAACAAAACACACACACACAAACAAACAAACAAACAAACAAAAACGTACTACAATTAGACCCTGCTCACAGGGCGGAAGCAGAAGCACGTCGGTTGCCACGCTTAAGCGAAGCGATAAGCTCCAATACCATGCGTTCCGCCACTACATTCCCAACAGAATTCAGCACGCTAGAGTAGTCGGCCAGGGTATTCAGCACAACGTCACCTAGGCTCAAAGCCCCTGACGGATCTTTGTCCCTCAAAGGCGAGGGTATCACCTTTTGCAGGAACTCACTTGAGGAAAAAAGAGGATCCTCCAAAAGGGTAATGGCAAGCAAACCGGCAACGTCTGTTAGGTGAACCGACTCGGACACTAACACAAGAGCCTCAGACGGAGAAGCCAAAGAAAAGAGCATGCGTGCCACCTCCATTATTTCCCCACGTTTAGCGTAATACGAACACCACCGATGCAAAAGCTCCTTTTTTTGAGGAGTCGCCAAGGAAGTTAACTTCGCCAGCACTGCTGCCTCATTCCAGTGACCACAGGACTGCAAACTTAAGACCGCCTCATAATGGTCACCGGAAAGCATGTACTTCTCCACCGCGGCGTCCAAATCTCCTCGCTCCAAAGACAAGGAAGCTGCATGCCTCGTTGTGGCCACAAATAGAGGAAATGATACAGCATCCCTGTTAGGAACGGAAGCCGCTGCTATCGCCACGGCAAGATTGGCAAGATACGAAAATTGATCGCTCTCCACATTGGTGTCCATTAACACAGATATGGCCCGCTGAGGCTCTTGAAGCTTCAGAAGCTCTCGCGCCACAGTCAGACGACACGCTGAGTTATCCAGCAATTGGCTCTTCGTAGCCTCCAGCGCGGCTATGCGCTGTTTATTAAAATACAGACGGTTGCTACGAACGATGTCCGAGTCTGACACAGCCTCGGAAAATCGGTTACAGTGGCTATAAAGAAAGGGGCAAGTTAACTTCTGTCCCACTTTGATTCGATCCGAGGGCTGAGGTTCATAGATAGCACTGCATCCAGGTTGCCAGCGACTCTTGGTGACACAAAACTGCCACCAAAGGCGATGTTTTTCTACTTGACCAAAAAAGCGAGCCACCCACAATGCAAGCTCCTCGGTGCTCTTCTGTACACATGCGCGCTGCAGTGGACCAAAAATGTGCCGTGGAACCATGGTCTCCTTGTAGATCTTCAATTCCTGCGCCAAGGTTGTAATCGCTTCTGTGATAACCTGACCAAATGGTCCTCGACAAGGGCGCCACCGTGGATCAATGCCTTGTACCAGGTAACTCGGTGAGCTGGTGCTCTGCAGGTTGATGGTGTCTGACGAGTTACACATGACTTGCGTTTCTAGGAGTGTCTGAATGTATGTTCGGTGGGCAGGCAGAAAAAAGGCGCTGGTCTGCAGGGGTCGTCGATGAAGCTTGCAAAAGACACTGCTGTTGACGGAAGTAAGTGATTTGTCAATAAGCGCAATGTCCCCGTTGGCGGTAAGAATAAGAAGCTTATCCGCGATCCACGTCAAATGCCTTGCGATCAAGTTGATCCGTGTTGCCCGCGAATAACTTACCCTTTCTTGGTTCGATGCCCTCCACACCCCGAAGGAGCCATCTACAAAGGCGACGGCAACCAGCTGCGAAGAATCAGTTGTCTCGGCACAGCTGCTCGCACTAAGTCCGTCACCTTTCGATACCGCAACGTGTGCCACAGGGTTGTTGATGGAAATAGATTTGAAGGCACTCAGGGCAAACCCAGAGCTCCCTGGTCTTACAACAATAGGAAGCCTTGCCCCATCCATCAAAACCAACCCTTCACTGATTGGCACGCACTTCACGCGAGAGATGGAGTTATCAGAAAGCAACAATGCTATGTCCCGATTCTTTACGAGTCGTTCCTTGTACACTGTCCATAGGCTCATTCCACCATCGGTAAAGATGACAGCCAACAGCTGGGGAACCCCATGAACGCCCGTAAGGCATGAGAGAAACACCCGTGGTGCCCATGAAACTCCCGCCACACCCATTCCCTCAAAGGAATAAATAAGGCCAGCCGCTTCTACATCCCACACCTCAAAGGTGCCATCAAGAAATGTTAAGAGCAAGAAATTTCCTGTGGCATTTAAACTGATATCGTGCATGCGGGAAGAATCCGGGTGTGTAGGTTTTCGGAGCACGCATAGGGGGACGCCGCTGCGATAGTCGAACAGTGTTACCTGGTGAAAGTGACGCAGCTGGGTGGCTTTGTTTGTCACCACCCACACCGACTCCCCCCAACGATGCGGGCTAAGCAAGATAATACGGGTGCCGCCGGCGTAGACGATGTTTATCCTTCGCAGTGTGACATTGTGCATGACATCTATAAGCACTATATGACCATTTTCCAGCGCGCAGCACACGATGTTGTCCCCCACCACACAGATCTGGGTTGGCTTTAAAAGGGCAAAGGCAAAAAATCCCTCCAGTGACCAACGCCGGCGTTCCACCAAATACCGCCACCGTGCCACGGAGCCATCGGTAAAAACAACGGCAAAGAGATTTGCCGTCACTTGAGACTGAACAACATTTGACACCGTCTTGGACACAATTCTCGCCCCTCGCACGTCGGCAGCGACACTTGTCACCTTTTCCTTTGGACACATGTGCCAGGCGTACAGTCGCTGATCGGTCCCAAACGAATACAAAAAAGGGAGCATCTGCGCCACCTCTGTCAGTAAAGCGGGCGAGGAAGCAAAAAGTCGCCTAAATTCCACGTCATTCGTGTGCCATAATACTTGCTCGTCAAGCACCAAATTCGTTTTCCAGTCGTAAGCTCCAACGGAATTACGTGTCGCAAAATATACAACTTCCTCGTTGGTCTCGCTAAAGGCGGCATCCAAAACAGTTTCATGGCCGTCCCCGCTGTCGTAAATTAGATCCTTTACGTATGGACTACTGGAACTCCCGTGCACTCCCGTCTCCAAAGAACCGATGACCCGCAGACGATCCCCAAGCACGACACAAGATGCCTGCGTGGAGCTAAGCTTAGAAGTACACAAACGCAATGGGGCAAACGAGTTGTTGCATCCGATGCAAATGGGGAATTGAAACCCACTGATTGGTTCTTTGTCCGCAAGGTGAGAGTCGTACACAAAATTCGAGCCGTCCCTTGTCACAACCAATAAATATTGCTTCGCAATGCAGGTGAGAACATAAATAGGCTGTGTGTTCGGTACCCGCACGATATTCACAATGATGCCGTCAGCTACATCCCACATAGCAATCGTCCCCAAACGATCTCCAGTGATGAGAAACAATCCATGTTGCAAGTAGGAGGCCGGTGGGGGCTTCCAATGCACACATGTCACAGGTGCATTGTGGCCATGCAGTGTTTGAACCAGTTGCATACTGTTCATGTCAACCACAAACACATCACCTGAGCCATGGGAGTACGAACTATACGCCAACAAATCTTGGCATCCGTATTCGGCGGCCTGATACGGCCAATTTCTCACATCATCGATAGGGGCGGCCCCCACGTTCGGCAACGCCTCCATTCCTGGGATGATTTTTGCACCCAACGTGCTGTGCATAAGCACCATCACTTCCCCTTTCCCTGTTTCCTTCTCCCTCTACTCCTGTCTTTCCTACTGGGTGTTTGTGTATTTTGATTTTATTTATTTTTGTTGTTGTTGTCTTTTTGTTTGTTGTTTTGCCTTTAATTTCAGTTGGGAAGCAAAATACAAAATACAAAATCAGGACTGTGAGACGCGAGACTTCATGCAACCAGCTGCACCCAGATCCAAGAGAAACAAGGCAAAAAACAATCGCCTTCCACAAAGACATCCCCTCCCCCAGCTAGAGCAAAAGTACGTAAACCCGCGTCCACCCTTCCCACCCAAAAACAACGAGGCACTCACACAAATTTTTGCGAGAAATGTCCGCGACTTTGGTTTAACAAAAACATAGTCCCTGCATACTGCATATTCGTTTTTATTAAAGACACTTTTCACACACACACACACACTCCATAGACAGAGATTTATATATGCCGTGTCTGTTTCGTTTTGGTTTATTCCTAATTTTTGCCGGTGAGAGCCCCCTCCTGCAATGCCCTTGTTGTTGACGCCACTAACAAGATCGTGTCTCAAACTTGTAGTATGACGGCCGCACGAGTTCTTCAACGACCCTGTCGACGAAACCAGCCAATTCCTCTTTGCGTGAGGAGTCCTCTGTGATAAGCTCAGCATACCACTTCAGCTTGGGCTCCGTGCCACTGCCACGAATAGTCATGGTGACCCCGTTATCAAAGTAGAAAGTCACGATTGGGCTCGAGGCCGAGACGGGAAGTGTTGCACGCTTGTCGGGCATCCGGGTGTCTATACCTGTAGCCAAGTCACGGATGTGCAGTACACGAGCTCCAGCAACCTTGTCTGGGTAGGCTCCATCCTGCATCGTTGCCATCGCCTTGAACATTTCCCGAATACGCGTAGGATCCCGAGCAACAACGTACGAGTTGCATGTAAAATGAAATCCGTATTGCTTAAAGATCTCAAAAAGCTTTTCTGAAAGGCTCTTCTTCTCCACCTCCTCAACGAAGGAAGCCATGTCGGCCACCACAGCGGCAGTGGTGACGCCATCCTTGTCAAAGACGCGGGTTCCCCACATGTATCCAATTGCCTCCTCAAACGCCAAGAGGACACGTGCCGAGGATTCCCGCTGGAGAGACTCCGACAAACTTCCCATCCACTTAAATCCCGTAAGCGTATCGGCATGATACAAACCCTCCTTTGCGGCAATGGAACACAGAATCTTTGAGCTGACAATACTAGACACAAAGTGGCAGTTTTGTAACGATTCTCCGAAGCGATGGGCGCGGAAAACGACCCACCAACCAAGCAAAGCCCCAACCTCATTCCCAGTAAACACACGCCAACTCCCGTCGTCTTGCTTTTCCGCAACTGCAAGTCGATCTGCGTCGGGGTCATTAGCCAAGATATACTTTGAGCCAGACGCTGATGCTGTCTCCATGGCAAGCTTGAGAGTTCCTGCACCCTCTTCTGGATTTGGAAATTTAACGGTGGGAAATTCAGGATCAGGTTCAGCTTGTTCCTTTACAAGACTGACGCAGTGCTGCGGGACTCCTAGGGTTTCCAGCGCCTTCACAGCAAACGGGCACCCCACGCCATGCAATGCCGTATAGGTAAACTTAACAGGATAGCCTGTGGTCAGTGGCTTGTATTCGGATTTAAGAGTGGCAAAGTACTGGCTCCAAACCTCTTGAAACGGATCACTGGCGCCTGCTGTAGTCTCCCAGGAAGAATCCAGAGGCTCCAAATTGTCCAAAATGGCTCGTGAAATATTTTGGTCATGAGGTGGGATGATTTGTGCACCGTTACTCCAGTAGACCTTGTATCCATTGTCTTCCTTGGGGTTGTGGCTCGCGGTGACCATCACCCCAGCCACACAACCAAATAGGCGAATGGAAAAAGGAACAAAAGGTGTAGGCACGACTTGACCAAAAAGTCGCGTGCGGATGCCGGCGTTAATAAAAACGTTAGAAGACAACTCCGCAAAACGTTTACTGCCATGGCGACCATCAAATCCAATCACCACCCCCTTTGATGAAAGTTCATCTTCTGTAAAGGTGGACTTTAGGTATGCACTCAATCCTTGTGCGGTTTGTATGACCGTCAGAGAGTTCATCTGACTTGTCCCAGCGCCTACCTTCGCCCGAAGGCCAGCGGTCCCAAACTCCATACGAGTTCCAAGAAGACGCTGTAACTCGTCTGTATTCCCCTCCTGCCAAAGTTTCTCAATAACACCTCGCTGTTGGGGATCTTTGTCCCATAAAATCCACTGCTGAACGCGTTCTTCGAGTATCATTTTCCTTTTGATTTTTGTTTTCAGATATGCGTTGTCTGTGTGAGTCGTATGAATCACCACCTTGTTTTGTTTATTTATTGGTAGTTGCAGCTCCTTTTACAGTATGTTGTATATTTGTTCCTGGTTCTTAATCCTCTCTTCTCACTCTACTTTGTGCAGAGGTGAGGTCCACAAAAGCAAGACAGCAGGCTGGCACAATAAGAAGCAGCAGATGATGGCACAAATGCATTAGTGTTGGTTTGTTGTACAGCCAAGCAGCTTTCTTGCTGACATTTCTATTCCCTCAAGTGAAGATTTAATCCGCCCGCGCGAAAGCCGCCGCCCGCAGCAAACATTCCACGTCGGTCAAAAAAACAACAACACGCAATTGGGTTCCACAGCAGGAGAGAAAGTGAAAAAGACAAAAACATACTGCCGCCCGTCACTGTAAAGCATCGACAAGCACCATCCTTTTTGTTGTATTTTTGCCGCCATCATCGCTCGCCCCCACCCTCCCCTCCGCCTTCCCTCTTTTCTGCATCACGCGTTCGATCCAAGAGGGCCGTGGCAGAACCGATTCCCTCGGAAAGGACCACTGCGCCGCACAACGCCGTGGCCGCAGCCATTCGAACCTCCTCAGGTGGGAGTTGGTCACACACCTTGAACATGGAGGTGTCATAGAGCAGAAGATCCTCCACGTGAAGTGCTCTGGGAATGCTCGCAATCTCCGCCGCCCCTAAAACCCCGTCCAGACCATGCACAGCCGCGACCTCTTTTAGCAACCGCAACGTGGAAGAGCCGGTTAGTGTTAATTCAATGGGCATCGCTACCGCCGAGCGTACCGATCGCACAGCCACGTAACTTGGGTGTATGAGTGCGCACAAAAACAAGTCGTTGCGAAGAACTCTCTCCCTTGAAACAATTCCCACCAGTGACGTTTGCAAACGCGCAGTGGAGGTCTGCACCCAATTCGCCGGAAGTTGCAGTGTCGCCTCATGCGGTCCGAGCCTCGAGGAGGCCTTGAAGACGCCCCTTCCAGCAGCAAACGTTGTTCCTTCCGAAATGGCCTCCTGCGCAGTTTCCCTCAGGAGTCGCAGGTAATGCCTTCGATTCCTCCCTGCGGCAGCATTAAAGCCCCGACTAGTCATGCAAAAAAAAAAAAAGTTGCGTCTGTCTGCTATGAGAAGGAAATTGATGCGAGGGCTGCAACGAACGCTTGAGCTCCAAACGATGTCACCACACCCACACACACCCAAAATAATAATAATAAGTAGGCAAAGAAATTAGTCCTTGAAACGCACAACAGTCACACGAGCAGACAAACGGCGTCAACGCCATCACATCAGTTGCATCAAACCCCCACAAACACATACATGTAGCCATTCTTCTTCCAAATGAATGAAACAGGTGGGAAGATCATAGCAGCAGAACCCACTCGTGAGTCTAAGCACAATTCCACGGTAAGTGGAAAAGAAAGAGCATGTGACAGCTGCTTCCTTCACGAGTACCACACGCCCTAAATGAACCCCGAAGCAATTGGTACGTCACCTCTTGCATTAGTCTTCACCACAGCCCCTCCGTCCCTTTCTCGCGGCTTTCTTAAAGCATGAGCCATGAAAACGAACATGCATGACAGAAAAAAAAAAAAACCAACTGTTTCATTCCCCTCTAATAGAGTAACTTGCGATAGAGTACAGAATCACCCTCTTCTTCGAGGTCAGCACGCGTTACCCAGAAAGGCGCAAAAGAAGAGCTCGCCGCCGCCAGTGAAGCGCCCGTCCAGGCACCATCCACCGCACACGAGAGGTGGAAAGAACCCTCCTTCTCATAGCGAAAGTAGCATGAGTCCATTTTCTGTACCTCTTTTATCAACCGTTCGCAAAATCCAGGCGCCTGTACCGTTCCACCGCAAACAACATGTGGAACAGCCTGCTGTTGCCACTCGGGATCAAGACTCTGCTTGCATGAGACAAGAAGGTCTGTCAGAGAACCCCCAGACGGCGTTGGGGGTAAGAAGAGCATTTCATACGGTTCTGTCCGCGCCGCTGCTGAAACAGTGACGGAACTTCCATCAGGGGCGCGCAACACCAACGGCTCCTCCTTCTGTAAAAGAGGCGGACGCCCCACACACACGCAACAGGCCATCCTTTTAATGTCATTCAACACGTCCTCCAGGGCCCACTGACGACTAGATGAGACGCGGTAATGTCTCACACTCTCAAGTGCTTCCAACTGCTCCATCTCTAGCAACTCCTTCAGACGCCGTGTGACGGCACTTCCTGCAAGGCTGTTGGAGGCAACCGAGCCCCGCAACGCATAGCCATCCAACACAGCCGTCGTTGTCGCTTGGTTGTGCCCAACATCCAAGACAACGGCGGAGGTCCTACCCGAAGCCAGCGTCCAAGCCACGCTCGGTCGACAGCAGTACAATGCGGAGGTAAACCCCAACTCCAAGACAGCGCGAAACAAGCTCCGCATCAGGTCAAACCGGTCATGCCAGATCTCAGGCAGCACCAACATGAGCGGGTCATCCTCGTAGCACTGAAGCTGTTTTCCCATGATGTGCTGCAAGTACTCCATGTGCTGACTCATCCTCTGCTCGAGTGCATGCAATGTCCACATTGGCTGCAGACTATCCACTCCCGTGGCATCCACTGCCATTAGCGTCGATGGGAGACCGGTCTCTGTGGGTTCAGCGTTGCAGCGAATGGATGGGAACTGCCGCGTGCACTTTGCGTCACCAATGTAGCCGGCACGGGTGGTCCAACCGAGTTCCACCACCGCCATACTGTTACCCTAGTTTTAGTTTTGTTGTTGTTGTTGTTGTTTGTGGTGGCAGTGGTTGTGGTATTAACGCACACATATGAAAGAGGGATCCCATGTTGACTCATACCAAAAGCATTTGCATACGGGCCAAGCACAAGCGGACCCTCTGCACGCTGACGGGCATATTCGCATCCACGCCAACAACGCAAAGGGTAAATCAATACATACAATTACACATCAGAGTCTGTAAACAACAAGAATGAAGAATAAAAAAATAATAACAACGGGGCATAAGAGTTTTCAGAAAAATTCCGGCGCTCCTGGAGTGTGTGTGTGTACAGGAAACTCTGCGACGCAAAATATCTTTCTTCCCATGTCAAGCGCGAAAACGACGGAGGGAGGCAAAGAGACCCCTGTCATGAAATCGCTGAGCTAACTCTTCCGCCGCTAACCTGGTTGGCGTCCGGAAAAGAAGCTGACCCGCTGCCCCAGGCGTCTCCACTCCCAGCAGCAAAAGGGAGTCCCCAATGCAACGAACTTCAGCCTCCGCTTCGGCACCTTCAAATGTCACACACACCTCCCATGTCGTCATTGGGCGCTGCACTGACGTTGTTGTGGAATCCGGTGGTAGATGCACCACGGGCGGTGAGGGATCCCGCGGTCGGGCGGAGGTCCGGTTCAGAACGGACTCGGTAAATGAGGAGGAGGAGGCCCCACCGCTTGTGGATGGTGAAGGGGTCGTAAGTGGAAGGACCTCCCTTGCCCGCTTCAAGTAGCAGTGATGCAGAGCAGCCTCGTCGTCACGCATAAAGAGGAGGCAACGCCTACACTGCATGCAAGGCACATGATACCGGGCGTCAACACGCAACTCCTTGGCGCAGTGAGTGCAGAGATCCATATCACAGACATCACAGTGGTAAAGGTATCGCGGCTCCTTTGCAATTTTATTTTGCTTAGGTGGTTTTCTGCTGCGTCGTTTTCCCTTCGTTGGAGCATCGGTTTCCTGCAGCTCGTCTAACCAGTCGGTGAGACCGCAGAAATCGCAACTAACTCCTTCAACGTCGCCGTAGTCCGACCGTTCCTTAACACTCAGTTCATGACCATTCCAGCAGCGCCAACGCTCCTTGACCGGGTCGTACAGCGGACTTCCACACTGAAGCAAATAAGCCGTGTTTTCCACAATATTTTCTTCCGGGTAATTCGCCTCCGATGAGGCATCCCCGGTTTTCGCGGCTTCTACGCTATTGCCGTTGGAGTCACGGCCTGCCTTCGACTGCGGACGCTGGCGTTGGGGGGTCATCTGCGAAATCTCTCGCTGTGGTGAGATGCTGCGCACCGACATCTGGATGAACCGCGAGATATTCACTGGCGACGCGAGATACTTAGACCTCATCCCGCGCCACCACCCCTGACAAGGTTCCGGTTTAATGTCCTTGCTGCCTTCCGAGTGGACTCCGTCTCCCTCCCCGTCCGCTCCCTCAATAAAAGCAAGAATGTATGTGCGTTGATGCGTCAAGCGTGCACTCTACGTATGCTCGTCGACGCTAACTTCCAACTTGACTCTTTTTTCCCCCCAGCTCTGCTCACCCTGAGTGACTGCCCACCACAACAACAATCCCGCATGAAAAGGAAGAGAACGTAAAGCAGGAGAAAGAGGCATCGCAGTCCAGCGCATGCGGAGATGGAGGAGGAAACCCCCGCCTCTGCTGGCCCCAGCCAAAGGAAGATACACGTATGTACACATTCGCTCGTACATATAACTTCTTCTTTTTTTTAAAAAAAAGACATTGGAGTACCCCCGCCTCCACTGCAAGAAGAGCTCCAGCAAAACTACAGCACCGTCACTGATACCACTTGTCAAACCATACACACAGACACGGAGAGAGGGAAAAGAAGAAAAGAAAAAGAAAGATACACTCGCCTACGAATATACAAGGGAGTTTACAACCCTACCGTCACCTATTCATGTCAATTCTTATCCG